ACTTTAAAGAATGGTGGTCTAATAAGATACAGGGAATTATTCCAATTTTTTTGTATCTGTTGAGGTTTGTTATGTCACCCAGTATGTGGTCAATTTTAGAGAAGATTCCATGTGGAGCAGAGATGAAGGTATATTCTTTTGTGTTTGGATGGGATGGTCTATTGATGTCTGTTAAAACCAATTGAGACATAGCTTCTGTTAGTTCTTTTGTTTCTCTGTTAAGTTTCTGACTGATGGTCCTGACTAGCAGTGATATTGGGGTGTTGAATTCCCCCTCTATAAGTGTGTGAGGTTTTATGTGAGCTTTGAGTTTTAGTTGTGCTTCTTTTACGAATGTGGGTGCCTTTGTATTTGGGGCATAAATGTTCAGAGTTTTTGCTGACTGATTTCTCCTGATGAATACGAAATGATGGTCTTCATCTCTTTTTATTGATTTTAGTTTTAAGTCTAACTTATTAGATATTAGGAAAGCCACACCTGCTTGCTTCTTGGGTCCATTTGATTGGAAGATCTTTTCTCAACCCTTTGCCCTGAGGTAATGTCTATCTTTGAAGCTTAGGTGTGTTTCTTGTATGCAGAAGAAAGGTGGACCTGTGTTTGCATCCATTCTGTTCCTGTGGATTTATAGGCGAGTTAAGACCATTAATGTTGATGGATAATAATGACTGTTGATTGTTAATGCTTCTTTGTTTTAGATTTGTTGTTAGAAGTGGCATTGTCAATATATTTCCCCTGCTTTGCCCTTGGGTTCTGGTGAAGTGGGATTATCTATTGCCTATCTTTGTGAGTATAGTTCACTTCCTTGGGTTGGAATTTTCCTTACAGAACTTTCTGTAGGGCTGGATTTGTAGATATGTATTGTGAAAATCTGGCTTTGTCATTAAATAACTGGTTTCTCCTTCTATAGGGATTGAGAGTTTTGCTGGGTATAGTAGCCTGGGATGGCATCTGTGGTCACTTATTACTTGTGGAACATCTATTCAGGACCTTCTAGCATTGAGATTCTCCATGCAGTAGTCAGGTGTAATTTTGATAGGTCTGCCTTTATATGTTTCCTGGCCTTTTTCCTTCTCTGCTCTTAATATTCTTTCTTTATTCTGTATTTTATATGTTTTGATTATTATGTGTCATGGGGTCTTTTTTCTTTGGTCCAGTCTTTTTGGTTTTCAGTAAGCTTCTTGTTCTTTCATGTGTATGTCCTTCTTTAGAGTGGGAAAGTTTTCTTTAATGATATTGTTGAATATATTTTCTGCACTTTTGAGCTGGGCTTCTTCACCTTCTTTTTTGCCTATTACTCTTCTGTTTGGCCTTTGTATGGCATCCCACATTTCCTGGATGTTTTGAGTTAAGGATTTGTTGGATTTAAGATTTTCTTTGGTTGATGACTCTCTTTCCTTTAGTTTTTCTTTGGTGCCTGAGATTCTCTCTTCCATCTGTTGTATTCTGTTGGTTATGCTTGTGTCTATAGTTCCCGATCATTTGCTCAGGTTTTCTATTTCTAGCATTCCTTCAGTTTGTGTTTTCTGTATTTTCTTTATTTCAGTTTTCAAGTCTTGAACTATTTCCTTTACCTGTTTAATTGTTTTCTTTTTCTTGGCTTTCCTTACTTTCTTTAAGAAATTTGTTCATTTCTTCCAATTTTTTGTTTGGTTGTTTTTTCTTTTTTCTTTTTTTTTTTTTTTTTTTCCGATTTCTTGAAGGGATTTTTTTTCACATCATCTTTGAAGGTCTCTATCATTTTTATGATAATTTTTTAAAAAGTCATTCTCTTCTACTTCATTTGCTTTAGGGTATTCAGGTCTAGTTTGTGTAGAGTCTGTAGATTCTGTTGGTTTCATGCTTGTCTTCTTCTTCTTAGGTGTTTTCTTCTATTGCCATCTTCCCTCAGGCAGGGGCCCAGCGATGAGAGTCAAAGATCAGGCTCCAGTAGAGGCCCTGCAAAGGGGGTCAAAGATCCAGCAGGCAATGACTTAGGATGATCCTCCAGCAGAGGCCTGGTGATGGGGGTCAAAGATCCAGCAGGCAGAGACTCAGGATGGTCCTGCGGAGATAGGCAGATCTCTTGCTGGGGCCCAGAACTCCAGCAGAGAACCAGCAGTAGGAGATAGAGGTCAGGCTTGTGGAGATTCAGGGTGGTCCTGTATGGATAGGCAGGTCTATTGTGCTCAGAGCAGCTCCAGGAAATTCCCCAAATTTGGCCGAATTTGAATACCACATATTATTAAGCAAAGAAAAACAATTGCAATGAAAGATCATATCAAGCACTTACCAATATTTATAATTGCAGATCCATAATAAAATTTTCTGTATGACTCCTATGCAATGCCCACTTTTCAAGTATTAAAGATGGTATCATGACAAGACAGTTAATATTTCTGCCTTCATTGTTCCTATATTAGAGCTATAAAGAAACTAAAAACAAATTATATTTGTATATGTGACATAATTAGTTCTATGTGGTAAACAAAAAATAAATTTGTGCACTGATTTAGATTTTAATTAGAATGATTTAATTAAGTAATTTTTAAGTTAACAAATATTTGAACATGCCACTGAGGGAAGAAGATATAAGCCACAGGGTTTCTGCAGAATAAAGGCTGTGCCTTGAGGCATCAGCAGCCTGAAGGCCTTTAATACAGAACTATTTTATATGGCAAAGGGTAACAAGGAAAGTAGTATATTTGTGGAAAATAGAAAAAACACAGTAGTGGGCTATGAAGGAGGTAGGACATCTGAAGATTATGGAAATATTTGGGTTAAGGTTTTTACTTATAAAGTGTCACTAGAGTTAATGAAAGCATACAATAAACGACAGCTCAAAGAGAGAATTTCAAGTGTTTTTACTGTGAAGAAATAGTGAATTTTTGATATGAGGGCTACAAATATCCCAATTTAATTGACAAACAACATAAAAGAGTCCAAAACAGCCCTCTTTATCTCTTTGAATACGCACTGTTAAGATTGATGGGTTTAAATAAACAGATAAAAAGAGGAAAAATGAATCTTCAAGAAATCCATTGGAAGAATCATATCAAATAATTTACATTTACTTAAAAGGTCATTCTGCCAACCAGAAAAATTGGCTGTCTTACAAATAGGTTGTTGTAAGAGAGAGATAGAGAGAGATGGTAATGTCCCATTTAAATCATCTTGGGTAAAATATTGAGTATGTTAAATTTTTGAAGTTAGGGCTTACTGGATATATCATAAGTAGGATATGAGAAATGTAGGAAGGGTAGAGTCCCATAGTGAGTTTAAAGTTTGGATGGGTCATTTGTGAGTAGTGTTGTCATTTATTGAGGGGAATTATTAGAATATGGAGAGGTGACACAAACTCTTTTTAGGTACCTTGGAATTGAGGTGACTGTAAAATATCCAGAGAGTATTCTGAGTTATTTTTTTCCTATAACATAGAAAAAAAAATAGGAGTAGATAGGGGTTTCCCTTCTTTAAAATAATACCTGCCTGCCCATAAACATGTATATCTCTTAGAACACATCATTTATAGACCAATAGCAAGACTGAAAGTGAGGGGTTTTAACATTTCTATTTATTTTTGCACTTCCTATTCTACCTAATACAGTAAGAGAACATTTCAAAAATATTTATCAGGTAATACTTTTGCAATTATAGACTTGTTACCAAAAACCAGTACAATTTTCAGATACCTCATGTCAACAGATAAAATTCCATTACTGTACATAAAATGAAAACAAATACAAATATTTTAAAAAGGAATTACAAATAGAAACTTTTTAAACATCTAATGATTCCAAATTCATATTGATTATCTTTGGAGCAGAGTTTCATGGATTTTTTTTAAATACATTAAAGTGAGAAAAGATGGATGAAGGGAGAAAGAGAGAGTGAGAGTGAGAGAGAGATCAGGTGTGTATGTTTATAAGTACTTTATGTTCTTGCATTGGACATATAAGGAGAACAAAATATTCCAAGTATAACATGTATATCCCAGTACATATTTAATAACCTTCTGGGAGGAAAAAAATCTTAGGAAGAGCTGATCACATATTACCACTGAAGAACAAAATCTTATTACTGGTTCAATAGGGGTGTAAACCAAAAATTACTTTGTGTAAAATTTACTTTCTTTATATATTTAATTTAGGAGAATTTTATACATAGGAATTGAATTTAAATAATTTCCACTCCCACTTCATATCCCTCCAACTCCTCCTGTACTTTCCCCTAAATTCATGGCCACTACATTAATTATTAACTTTATTTGGTTTCCACTTGCCCATCCTGGTCATTCTGTGCTGGACAGAAGGTCAGGCAGAAACTGAAGTTAAGAACCATATGCAGAAAGGTTTTTTTTTGCTGACTTGCACACAGGTCAAGCTTAATTAACATTTTTATGTAGCTGAAGACCATCTAACCAGCAAATTATGCTACTCTCAATAAAATGAACGATCTTACATCAACTAACAATCAAGATATGCCCCCCGCAGACATGTCAATAGGTCAATTGGACCTGGGAAGTTCTTTAGTTCAGAATATTTTCTCAGTGATTTTAGGCTGCATCAAGTTAATAGTTAAAGTTACCTAGAACAAGGAATTACAAAGCACTATTGATAAACACAGAGTGAGAACAGAATAAATATAAAAATATGCCTGATATAGCTACATTAGACAATAACTGAAATATGTCAATCTCGTCAAATAAGCATATAGTATATCCAGAAAACTGATTACAATACCTCATGATCCAAAGAGAAGACTCAAAATTGGTCAAAGTAATTTTGAAAAGTAGAGATTCTCAGCATAGCAAAGCACACATTGTATCGTAATTAAGAGAAGGGAAATTTGAAACGAGCTGTACACTCCAGAACTGTGAACCTCTTTGGCAGCAGCAACTAAACGCAGAAAATACCATGGCAGAGCAGGTGGCCCTGAGCTGGACCCAGGTGTGTGGGATCCTGAGGGAAGAGTTGTGTCAGTGAGATGCCTTCCATCAAGCTGATACATACATATTTATCATCATGGGTGCATCGGGTGACCTGGCCAAGAAGAAAATCTATCCCACTATCTGGTGGCTGTTCCGGGATGGACTTCTACCTGAAGACACCTTCATTGTGGGCTATGCCCGCTCCCGTCTCACAGTGGATGACATCCGCAAGCAGAGTGAACCCTTCTTTAAAGCTACCCCAGAGGAAAGGCCAAAGCTGGAGGAGTTCTTTGCCCGTAACTCCTATGTGGCTGGCCAGTATGATGATCCAGCCTCCTACAAGCACCTCAACAGCCATATGAATTCCCTATATCAGGGGATGCAGGCCAATCGCCTATTGTACCTGGCCTTGCCTCCCACAGTCTATGAAGCTGTCACCAAGAACATTCAAGAGACCTGCATGAGTCAGACCAGAGGCTGGAACCACATCATAGTGGAGAAGCCCTTCCGGAGAGACCTGCAGAGCTCCAACCAGCTGTCGAACCACATCTCCTCTCTGTTCCGGGAGGACCAGATCTACCGCATTGACCACTACCTGGGCAAGGAGATGGTCCAGAACCTCATGGTGCTGAGATTTGCCAACAGGATCTTTGGCCCCATCTAGAACCGAGACAACATTGCCTGTGTGATCCTCACATTTAAAGAGCCCTTTGGTACTGAGGGTCATGGGGGCTACTTTGATGAATTTGGGATCATCAGGGACGTTATACAGAACCACCTCCTGCAGATGTTGTGTCTGGTGGCCATGGAAAAGCCTGCCTCCACAGATTCAGATGATGTCTGTGATGAGAAGGTCAAAGTGTTGAAATGTATCTCAGAGGTGGAAACCAGCAATGTGGTCCTTGGCCAGTAAGTGGGGAACCCCAATGGAGAAGGAGAAGCTACCAACGGGTACTGAGATGACCCCACAGTGCCCCGTGGGTCCACCACTGCCACCTTTGCAGCAGCTGTCCTCTATGTGGAAAATGAACGGTGGGATGGGGTACCCTTCATCCCGCGCTGTGGCAAAGCCCTGAATGAACGCAAGGCTGAGGTGAGACTGTAGTTCTGAGATGTGGCAGGCGACATCTTCCATCAGCAGTGCAAGCGTAACGAGCTGGTGATCCGTGTGCAGCCAAATGAGGCTGTATACACCAAGATGATGACCAAGAAGCCTGGCATGTTCTTCAATCCTGAGGAGTCAGAGCTGGACCTGACCTATGGCAACAGATACAAGAATGTGAAGCTCCCTGATGCCTATGAACGCCTCATCCTAAATGTCTTTTGTGGGAGCCAGATGCATTTTGTCCGCAGTGATGAACTCAGGGAAGCCTGGCGTATCTTCACATCATTGCTGCACAAGATTGATCAAGAGAAGCCCCAGCCTATCCCCTATGTTTATGGCAGCCGCGGACCTACAGAGGCAGATGAACTGATGAAGAGAATGGGCTTCCAGTATGAGGGCACCTACAAGTGGGTGAACCCTCACAAGCTCTGAACCTTGGGAACTTACACCATCTGCACTCTGCCCCTTTTGGCCACCATTTCTGTATCTGCCCTTCCCACCACCTAACCCTATATTAGGACTATTGACCCACATTGGAAGGACTTTGGGACCATAGGCCTTAGCCACACATTCTAGTCCCTGGGCTCATGCCACCACTCTATATCCTACGCTGCTACTGCTGTAGCCACCTTCACTGCTGCTACTGTTACCACCACCACTGAGCCCAGCTACATTCCTCAACTACCAAGTTCTCAAAACTCACTGTAATTCTTTCAGGGCCACCTTTGATCCTACCTGAGCAACCCATCTCTCCACAAGACCCAAATCACCTCCTCCTCTCACTCCAGTCTGTGCAAAGGGAAGAACAGCCTATCAGTCTGTCCCTAGACTCCTCAAGGCAGGAGATAAAAACAATGGGGAGGAAACTTGAGCCTCAGAGGAATAATGACCAAACTACACTCCCTAATGTCTATGGGCAGGCACATCAAAACTCAAAGGAAGGATCAAGGGTACCCATTAGAAGGACCTGCCCATGGCCACAATAGATTCAGTGCCACTTGATATTCCTCCTCATCTGCTGGAAGAGACCACATGCTGCTTAACAATATTGTGGTGCCAGAGATATCCCCTTACCAATTCCATACTCCATGATCATCTTCATCCCACCCACATGCAGCCTTCTTACCAAAGGAAGGCAGAAGTAGCAGCTAGGATTTCCCTGCCATTAAAACCTCAAACAGTTGTCCCTTGTCCCCTTGTCATTTCCTCCCTGCTATCCAGGACTGTGAGAAAGAGACTTATTTCCCCACTCCCATGTATATTAGTCGGGGGTCTATAAAGGAACATATATGAATTGGAACATATAGGAATATATATATGAGTTGCTTACAAGCTACAGTCCAAGTAGTCCAACAATGCTGTCTCTAGACAGAAAATCCAAGGATGCAGCAGTTGCTCAATCCATGAGACTGAATACAGCAGCAGCCCCAATCCCATGCTTGAGTCGCAGTTTTCAATCTAGATTAGAATCCCAAGGAAGTAGGTTCTAAGATCAGCAAAGAAATGGCTCGTTAATAATAAAGGTCAACTTGCCAGCAAGAATGAACACAGGCAGGCAAAACACACACACACACAAAAAAAAAAAAAAAAAAATAGAGAGAGAGAAGGGAAATTTATTCATAAAGAAAATATTAAGTGTAGTATGTTTTAACTCTTAGTTATAATAATTACTAATATTTTTTATTTTTTATTCAAATTTGTAACAAGCTTGTTTTATATGCCAATTCCAGTTCCCTGAACCTACCTTCCTTCCCTCTCCCTCTAACAAACTCCATGCTATCCCCTTTGTGCTCCCCAAGAAGGATGAGGCCTTTCATGAAGGATCTTCAAAGTCAGTCATATCATTTCGTGCAGGGCCTAGGCCCAACCCCATGTGTTTAGGCTGAGAGACTATCTCTCTATGTGGAGTGAGCTCCCAAAGTCCATTCATATACTAGGGATAAATACTTATCCACTACCAGAGGATATACTTCCCAGTCCTCCAAACTAATACCACATTGAGGGAGTCTGGGTCAGTCCTATCTGTTTTCCAAGTTATCAGACAGGAGGCCATGAGCTCCCCCTTGTTCAGGTCTGCTGATTCTGTGGGTTTCTCCAGCCTGGTTCTGACCCCTTGGCTTGTCACTCCTCCTTCTCTGCAACCAGATTCCAGGAGTCTGGCTCAGTGATTAGCTGTGGGTGTTTGCTTCCATCAGCTACTGGATGAAGGCTCTAAGATGGCATATAAGATAGTCATAAATGTCATATGAGGGAAGGGTATTTAAAGTATCCTCTCTACTATTTCTTAGATTGTTAGTTGGGGGTCATCCTTATAGATCTATGGAAATTTCCATAGTGCCATATTTCTCCTTATACTTTTAGGCATATACCCAAAAGATACACATTCATACAATAAGGACATCTGTTCAACTATGCTCATAGCAGCATTATTTGTAGTAGCCAGAATATGGAAGCAGCATAAATGTCCCTCAACTGAAGAAAGGATGGAGAAAATCTGGTAAATTTACACAATGGAGTACTATATTGCATAAAAACAATGTAATCTTGAAATTCACAGCCAAGTGGATGAAACTAGAAGAAACCATCCTGAGTGAGGTAACCCAGTCACAAAAAGACAACCATGGCATACACTCACTCATATATGGCTTTTAGACACAGAGTAAGGGATTACCAGCCTATAATCCATACCACCAGAAAAGCTAGGAAACAAGGAGGACCCTAAGAGAGACATACATGATCCCTTGGAGAAGGGGAAAGTGACAAAATCTCCAAGAAAAATGGGAACATGGGGGGAGGTGAGATGGAGTTAGGAGAAAGACAAGGGGAGAAGAAGAGAGGAGAGGAGGGCATGAGGGAGCAAGAAAATTGAGTCGGGGAAAGAATAGAGGAGAGCAAGAAAAGAGATACCATAATGGAGGTAGCCATTATAGGAATAATTGCTAATATTAATTATAAAATTAATGTGATTTTCCATACTTGATATTTCATAATTTGATCATGCTTCCTCACCCTTTTATTTTGAGTCTCTAATGCTTTTCGAGCTCCAGAATCTTCTCAGTTTATAAAATTCCCTTTTAGTGTTTCTGTTCCTTCCTGTCCCTATTAACTCCTCATTTCCAACAGCCATGGTCCCATTTTGTGTTTCTAAAAGTTTGATTCTAGTTTTGATACATGAATGAAAATATTTGATATTTGTGTTTATATGTTCATCTTGTTCATGCCAAGAAAAATTTTCTAGTTAGAGCCAAGTTATTCCACAAAACACAAGACATATTATGTTCTGAGGAGCATTTCGCTGTTATAATTACAGCCCCTTTTTTTATTCAAGGTACACATTTTATTCAATGTGAATAATGCACAAAATATGATATGTCTCTTGAGAAATGATGTCATATCTAGAATGTGTTTTGAATAAAACTGATTATCAAAGCATTTGCATGATATAAGTAGATTAGATAGAAGTGAACCCAAATACACTGTAGTCTTTAAAATTATAAGTTCAAAGTCACACATTGATAATGTAAAACAAAATGGCAAGTCTTATTTTAAATTCTCTTTGTTGTTTTCCACTGGGGAGTTCCAGAGCAGAAAATGCACCAAATGTATTGGGAGAAAGGGTTATATCCAGTGTTTATTTTCTGGATATCTGCTGTCTACCTGCATATAGAGAGTTACTACAGTCTAGATTCAGTAGTGACACTTAGCTGGCTGTACTTACTCAGAAGTTTCAGCTTTCTTGCTATGTATTATTTTATGTTGGCCTCCTTCCAAGGGATGATCATTAAACCACTTTCTGAGATCACTGAAAAATTAGTTCAACCCTTCTAAGACATATGAAATGTCATCTATGATGTTATTCAGGAGTTACATCTTAGCTCCCTAAACATTTGAAAATGTACACTTTATGGTAGTAGCAATATCAGACCTGTGAGACCTCTACAAGTAAGAGAGGGAAAATTCCCCATGTTTCCCAGTCATGTTTACATCATGGATTAAACCTGGATATCTATTTCTTCTACTCTCCTGATCCTGCTTTCAGAATCATTACTAAACACTAGTCTTCATAGCAATGCTTTCATGTTTATTACTCTGATGAGATTTCTCAACAGATGACTTGTCACCAAGCTCTTGGGAAAATGTTGCCGACCAGTTTAAGTGTTCCAAATCTCTGAGAATTTGAGCATAAGGAAATACTGAGAATGATTTATCAGACTCTCACATCTTAAAAACCTTACATCAAATGCTGAGATTTTAACTTCCATTGGTACCATAGCAATGTCAACTAACAGTCTCTTTTTACTTAATTCTCTTTCTCATTGCACTTTGTATAGAAGCCAGTTGATTTCTACCTGCAATAAACCATAGCAATGCCAAGTTCCCCACCAAAAAGATTATTCCTTATTATTCCTTATTATTTCTTATTTGTATTTCTTAAATTTTGCCAGATTGTTGAGCATTTTGGATTACATTTTCTACTTGAAAATGCAACGTCTCAAAATCTACACAGATTTGCACAGTTAACCCCTTAAACACCCACAGGATCTTCCAACTGTTTAACTATTTCCTTAATAAGAAGTGTTGTTTGACTAACTGCTGTGTGAATAACACTTTCAGAATTGATGTCCAGTTCAAGTTGTCCTTCTTGGAACCATGTGGGGTTCATTTCTCAGCTCCTGCCTGCTAAACATTTCAGAAATATGAATCAGAACATTGTGGCCAACACATCTGACCTCCATTTTTTTCAGATGATGGGATTACTTGTATTATTATTATTATCATTATTTGGTATTTTGAGGCAGAGTTTCTTTGTACTGCTTTGGAGGTTGTCCTGGAACTTGCTCTGTAGACCAGGCTGGACTCTGCCAGCAATGTGCCTGCCTCTGCCTCCAGAGTGCTGGGATTAAAGGTGTGAGCCACTGAGGACTGGCAGGATTATTTGTATTAAAGGGCATCTGAATGTGTGATAGTGACTGCATTTTAATCTGACACACTCTTCATTGAAAACTGTAGAGAACCCAGAAGACATAGCCATGCATTTGAAGCTTGTTATTGGTAGTTAAAGGCCCACACATTTTTTGTGCCAAGATCTCTTTTGCTACACATTGAGCCTTCTTTTCTTGCATTTGTAAAAGATTCTGGGCGTAACTGGGTATCAAGAAAGCATCAACAGTTCTAGAAGTCATAGATGCTGTTTCTTGCATCTTCAGACCACATAGTAGCTGAAGCACAACATATCTAGATGTCAGGTAATTTGTCATTTTCACTTTTTGTTGGTGACATTCTATTTGGTCCCACTTCATTTGTCACACTTGTTTGTAAATGTAAATTATTTTATTTTACTTTTGTAGTTATAGTTAGAATATTTCTCTTTTCTTTCCTCCTTCAAAACCCTGTTATCCACACTCCTCCCACTCTCCTCAATAGTTATGGCT